AAATTTAAATCCAAATCATAATTTATTTTTTCAAAATTAATTATCTCTTTCTGTTCAGCGTTTATTTTATTTATTTATTTTTATTTTTGTGAAAAAATATTGGCAATTATCTTTATTTTTGAATATACATATATATATATATATATTAAAAAAAAGGGATTCCCCCCCACCCTCAACATGCCACCACGCCAAACCAAGAACTCCCAACGTGTTGCCGCCGCCGCCACCGCTGCTGCTGCATCTTCCACCCCTGGTCAGGCCACGTCCTCCACCCCCTCTTCCCCCGACATGACCACATCCTCCATCAACATGTCTGACATTCGCACCAACTCAGTCGATAGCATCGCCCGCAACCTCGCCGGCGAACAACCACCAGCAAACACCGCCACCCCCGACCTCTCTGCCATCCTCCATGCACTCAACTCCGTCACCGCCTCTCTCGACGACATAATCCAACCCCCACAGTGCAAACTACTCTAACCTCCACAGACGCCTCTAGCAACACCCCCCCGCCGACCTCCTCCACTCCTACCACCTCTACCGCCATATCCACCAACCCTTCAATCCCCACCATCGTTCTGTTCCCTCCACCTCCTCCCTCATCCGGCCCATCCAGCACACCGCCTCATTCCCCGCCCATCAAAGTCACCCCTCTTCCCCCCCCGCACTCCCAAACCCTCTCCCAACCCATCATGACCACCTCCACCATCCCCACCATTCGTCCCACCTATTCCCAAGTCACCTCCGGGGCTTTCCCCGCAATGCCACAACTTCCACCCAACAACCAAATCGACCACACCTGCTACGACACCACCCCCGATAACCTCAGCTTCAACACCCTCGCGCAGATCGTTCACCGCGACGGGGAAATCCCCCGTTCCTTCCGATCTGGCGAAATCATGTCCTTCTCCGGCCTCCCCCACGAGGACGTTTTCCTCTTCCTAACCCAGCTTCAGAACTCTTTTCAGCTCCACCACATGCCCCTTGCCCACTGGCTCCCCATTGCCACCTCCCGCCTCCTCGGCAATGCAGCCAAATGGTGGATGGTTGAAGCTAGCAACCGCCGAGCCTCCGGAGGACTACGCCCCACCTTCCTCCAATGGGCCACCCTCCTCACTCCCACCTTCCGCCCCCAGAAAACCATTGACGACTACCTTGAACAATTCTGCCACCTCCGCCAGACCGGTCCCACGGACCGCTTCGTCCAATACGTCCGCTCCCTCTGACACCACCTCCCCCACACCGTCATTCCCGACTGTGCGCTCATCTCCCGCATCAAACGAGTATGCCACAAAGACCTTGCAACCGCCCTCGCCCACGAACGCGACATGCCCTTGCTGACCTCCTCTCTCGCATGCTCCACCACTATCGACTCCTCCTTCCCCCACCACCAGGCCCCCCCCGGCACCACCCCCGCACCCGCTTTTTCCACCACATCACCCCCGAAGACACCACCTCCATCACTTCCTCAGACGAGTTCACCACATCTGACCCCGATGCATCTTTTGATTCACTCGACTCTTCATCCCTCACTTACGAGGAACTCGATGTCGTCCAGTTCATGAGAATGAAGCGCAGAGATCGCAGCTCCCGACCACCCTCATCTACCCCACCCTCCCACCTCAAGAAACTCACCCCCGAGGAGCGCACCTACCTCCAAGCAAAAGGGGGTTGCTTCCGTTGTCGCCAATTGGGGCACCAACAAACCAACTGCCCCAACGCCGCACGATTCACCCGTCAATCCGTCTCCACGCGACCCGCAACCTCCGCATCACCGCCCTCGGCAAGCGCGGGCCCCTCCTCATCATGAACACAGTCCCCAGGACACTGACCCGACATCAACATTGCATCTGTAAGCCTACCCACCAGTGACATCCTTCGTCGCACCGATGGCCCATCTGACATCGACAATTCGTTTGCCTTCCCCCTCTCCGGCGACGCCCCCTCCACCGGACGATTCCCAGGCATCGCAAACACCTCCCACTGCCTCATGCTCCTCTACCCTTCCTCCAAATGCATCCACTATCACCTTCTCCAATGTTGTTGAGGAACAAGCCCGACACGATCGGCTTGTCCGCTTAGGCAACGAACAACGCCGCCTCAACACCATCATCTCCACCGCCAACTCATCTCGTTTCCACCTCAAATTCATCGCTGCCACCCTTGGTGCGTCTACAACTAAGTTTCGGGCCCTCCTCGACATTGGAGCCACCAGTAACAACCTCACCGACGCGTGTGTCCGCAAAGCCGGTCTTACCTCTACCGGCTATGACTCCCCGATCACGATTCGCCTAGGGGACAAAGACATCGCCGTCGTAGTAGACCGCACAGTTCCCGAGACCATCATGACCATCGGAACCCTCCGCAGTCAGGTCTCGTTTGATGTCATGCACTTGATGTGCGACATCGTCTTAGGAACCCCGTGGCTGGACCGCTACATGCCATACGCATTCCACCCCAACTTCCTTCGCCTCACCAACCCCCCCGACACAACCATTGACATCCCCTATCTCCCATATCCAACCTCCCAGGGCTCTGTAACCCCGCACCAATTCCTCCACATGGCTCGCCTAAACCCCGACTCCGCCTACTACTGTCTTGTCCTTGATCGCGAAAGTCCCAAGGACTTACTCCCGA